TAAATACAGTCAGAAACAATAAAAGCTGAGCCTGGAGGCACAGGTTTGCAATCCTAGTTAGTTGGGAGGCTGAGGAAGGAGGATCACAAGTTCAAGCCCTGAACTGAGTTCAAAGCCAGCCTGGGCAACTTAGTGAGCCCCTGTCTCAAAATAAAATGTTAAAGGGTCCGTAAACACAGCAGCCGTAGCATGCCCTTCTTGCTTAAGGCCTAGGGTCAATCGCCAGCACCACGAGAAGAAAGACTGGACTCATACTCAATGAACCCCGAGGGACCAGACTCCAAAGATTCCAATCAACATCGCTTTCTGTTGAGCTAGGCAGGCAGCTTAATGAAAACCCTACAAGAAAACAGCTAACGGAGGTATTAATGTCCTTTTAATTTGCTGCGCTCATTCTAGTAAGCTATTCTTAACCCAGATGGGACAGGAAAGAATTCTTCAAGGATCAGACTCCCTACTATTGATCTTTGTACAGCCCCAGAGACCTAGGCTAGAGTAGGCCTCTAAATTACATCTTATACATTACTAAGTCATGTTGACTTAGGAGTGTAAATTCATCAACTACTGCAATACAGTGCCAGATTCTAATGAAGAGTTTTCAGTCTAATCAACAATGTACATTTTTAGATCCATTTTTGTTTGGGGGTATTTTAGTTGTCATATTTTGGATTTTTTGTTTTGTGTGTAAGTATGTGTGTTGCTAGGGGTTAAACTCAGGGTCTATAGCAAGTGTTCTATCACACAGCATATATCCCTAGCCCCCTCTTTACTTTTTATTTTTGAAACTAGGTCATGCTAAGGTAGATGGGCAGGCCTTGAACTTGTGATCCTCCTCCTCAACCTCTAAAGTGGCTGGGACTTCAGACATCTAAGCTCAAATTCTGTAAGCTAATTATCAAGAGACCAGTGTTTTGCCAAGAAAATAAAATTCTTGATCCAATTATGAAATATCCATTCCTTTGTAAGTTAAAACCTTAATATAAAATTTCTAATAGGTAGCTTTTTAATTTTCAAGAGAGAAATTTTTTTTCAAGCCTTTTTTTTTTCATAGTTTGGAATTAGAGGTCCAAAGGAATCTATTGGAATTTACAGAGTTAACAGTAAGAACAGTAAATCATCTGAAAAACATTATTCTTCTAAAAGTAGTTTTTCTCTCCCATACAAAATCAACTAATATATTCCATCAAATTTCAGATATAAAGCAGTAAGTTTATTGGTAATTATCAAAAATTACTAAATGAATAATTTACCACAGAGCTATGTAATGTAAAGTTTAAAGTGATATCGGTGGTTCTTTACATCTGTGTACAACATCAGAAAGGCCATTATTTCTTAGTTTTTCTCTCCAAAAACACTGCTCCAAGTGCAGATAAATTCAACATATCTTTAAAGAGCCCATTCATGTTTGAAGGGATGACATGCCACACCACCAAAAACAGAGATCTCCATACACTGAGAGGTAAAGACTGTCGCCATATCCTTAAGCAAGGAGACACTGAGGCAAGAGCAGCATGAAGGTGATCCAAGAGTAAAGAGCCCTAAATGAAAATGCCCAGCAAAACGGGCAGGACAGATCTTGGTATCACAAGTTAAATCATTTCAGATCTTTAACAGCTGACCGACCATTAGATGTAAGCACCCCAGCCCTTTACACACTGTCTCACAGCCCACCAACAGAGCAGTGGTAAGCACTTCCTCAGCAGCCCATCCACACCCTGCTCACTGAGCTATTGTCTCACTTCCCTGAATTTCTTATGATCATAAGACGCCCAAAGGATCATTAACCCCCCAATTCACCTTTGAGACTGACTTTGTCTTCAACTCTCCATTCCCCACCGCACTCAAGTCCAGTCTGCCATCGTCCTTGCTTCCGATCGCTTTCAGTCCTTGCAAGAGAATGCCGCGTAGATTCTGATAGAGAGGTTTCTCGGTGTAGGCCAGTGACTTCACAGTTTCCATGTACTTCGCAATTTCACCTAAAATCATTTTAAGACTTTTGATTACAAATCTGGTCTGTTTACCTCATTCCTAAGAAAACAGTTTGTGGCCAATGTAAAATTAGAACACAAGTGTGTGACATGTTACAATAGAATATTTATTTCAATCACTGTTCAATGAAAAGAGTACTTTTAATTCAAGAATTATCAGATAAGTAAAAATAACATTTTGAAATATAACGTAAACATTTTTGTAACTGTAAGAGACAACAGGAGAGAATCTAAACTAAACAGGAGAGAATCAAATATACATAAAGTGAATGCAACTGTAAGGTGGTAATGCAAACTGTCCTTCAGTGGAGTGATAGCTGCATGCTCTGTGCAGGTGAGACAGCACGCCCCAACGGTAGCAGAGTTAAGAAGCAAGCAAGGCCTGGTTCTTCCAGGGGAGGAGCAAGTCAGCTTCTGTGAGAGGGTCCCCTGACCCGAGGCAGAGCCCCGCCCTGAAAAGTAACCCCACCTGACAGGGGAAGCCAGCTCCCACACTCGCTCCCTGAGCCCTGGACCTGGGCTCCACTGCTCACTCTTTGGTTCTTCAACATGCAACTGAGACCCCAAACCCCACCCTCGGGCCTAGCCCAAGCCTGCTCCAGTGTTTCCCCCATTCTCAGCTACTGACCAGTCTTTCTTGTACCATGCCTGCTTCCACTCCGCATGTAATACATGCAGCTATACGGCCAGTGCTATGTCCACACAGACATAGACATAATCACTAATTTAAATTATTTTTTCAAATATAACTCATTTTTTTAATTTGTTGATTTTTGTGTGTGTATATCATACAGAACATCCCACACAGTCTTATTCATCTATATACCCACATCCCAAATGGCACCCTTCCATAGCCCACCACCCCCCTCAACTGGAGCCCGTATACTCTGTCATCCCTGTTACTGTCCACTGTGTTGTCAG